CTAATTTGTTAAATTGCTTTCATTTTTGAAACGGTTAGACGAACCGAGACAAAGCTTGGAATATCGAAGGAGGCCGCTCGTTATCTGTGATCCAAGACGCACACAAAGTAAAGGGATGTTCTTACGCTTTCAGCACATACCTCGTCATGCTTATTTATCCTACACCATTCGGCTTGTGCACTTCTGACACATTGTACACGCCGCCTTAGTTCTCTCTAGCAATATTATTGCATTGGACTGTAATAAACAACCCGTAAACCAAAATTCAGAAGAAAGAAAAAAAAAACACTCGCTAAATTTCCCTCAAATTGGTCGATCCTTCGCAAAGACGCAAAAAAAAGTCAAACCAAGAATGAACCCTTTGAATACGTTCAAGGTCCGCAGTACAATTATAAAAACTAATTTGTGCCAGTCGTGTTTGGCCTAGAGATGAAAAACGGGACTTTGAAAGATTTCAGGAAATAAACAATGATAAAAAAAAAACAAAAAAAAATAAATAAGCACAAAAAAAAAGGGTTACCAACGGTCAACGAAAGAACGTTAAAACCACCGATATAGTCCCATACTGGAAGGACCACCGTTGCACTTTTTTTTTCTCTCTCTTTTTTTCCTCCTTCTTTTTTTTCCTCTTCTTTTCGCTTAAGAGTTAAACTGTAATCCCGTTGAAGAAGTTGGACGGTCCTGTTGCAATTGGCCTCACCGTTAACGGTAGTGTAACTTCCCGCGCCCCGTCCCTCTTTTTTTCTTACGCTTTTCTGTTTTGTTTTTTCTTTCGTTTTCTTATCCTGAAAGAGAAATATGGACGTCTGACAACCGAAATATGCGTATACATTTCGAACGTCCTTCTCTCTTTCTCTCTCTCTCTCTCTCTCTCTCTCTCTCTCTCTTTTCGTTACTTTATTAATCAATCTCGTAAGCATACAATTTCAGATCCTACATCAGGTCCTTCATTTTCTTTTTTAAACAAATGCTCTTTTCTACTGATAAGAAAACAAGACATCGAAAATCTCTTTTCTCTCTCTCTCTCTCTCTTTTCCTTTCATCTCATCGATTGAGAACATATCGTAATGGCAGCCGATTAACGCGTGGCCATTCTTTTCCTCGATCAGCTAGGAACAACGATGAAGAATTCGGACTGCGGAACGGCAGCCCCACTTCTGCACAACTAGTCGGTTACACTTTCGTTGTTGCGACTAGTGGTACCATTCGCCAACCGTATTCCACCTTCGTCGAAGAATCGTCGAGTAAATTGAAATAAATCTATTCTTTGATATGAGCAATGTTTGTTAATAGATACGATGGCCTTGAAACGAGAAAATATGCAAAGAGCGATTAGATATATTGTATAAATATATCATATGTAGAAATTTGTTACTAAGCAATACCGTCAATTACTATAGTAAAGATATTAGTAACTATATATGAAGTTTATATTAATTATAGAAAGATTTACTATATTTAAATTTATTTAAAAATTATATATATATATATATATATATATATATATATATATATATATTTACGTATGTATGTATATATACATTATATATCGTTTCAAAAACATATTTTTCTAAGATTAGGATAAAGATGATGTTTTCTTTTATCTAATATTTGCAATATATGGCTTTTCTTTTTATTGCTTCCAATTTATTCTATTCTTTCGCATCTTTCATTATACGATAACATTTATTTATAATAAAATAGAATATATTTTACATTAAAAGTATTAAATATTTATATTATAACGTTATTCACAAAAATGCAAGTAATACAAAAAATGCAAGGTCTCTTTTTGATATATTTCTATCTTTCTCACAAGAAGATTTGGCAAAAGTTAACCTTCAAGACTAAACGTGTCCAAGGAATATAAATATAAAAGGAAAACATGTGTGTAGCAGACGTAGAGTGTATTTAGAAGGAAACATTGAAAGATGACAATGGTCACGCGCCCAGAATGTGCCACGTTCGATGACCTCCTCAAGATATTGAGTAGGTATCTTTTATGTTGTCTTTCTTCTAAAAAAGAAAATAAAAAAGAAGAATTCGCAACGGAAAATTGTATATCTTTTTCCAGATGTGTTAACAAACAGAACAAACAATGACAAACATTGTACATGTTGTCTCCTTCTATTGCAAAAAATATAATACAATCACGTAACAGACTTATCACGTTAACCGATAGATCGGTAACAAGGACTCCATTGAAGGACTACGTTGAAAGGACAATATGTTAGAACACGTGTCGTTATCGTCCTTCAAGAAAAGCAATAGTGTCGTGCGACTTCAATAAATCAGGCCAATGTAAACGTAAATTGTTTCAACGATTGTAACGATGAAACGAACAGAAAGGAATATATATATATATATATATATATATATATATATATATATATTATATATATATATATATATATAAGGAAATATATATATATATATATGTCTTAAAAAAAAAAGTCCAAGAGCTACTTGTGACGCCTAACGAGCGCACCATAAGGAAACAATTATTCAAAAGTAAAGAGAGATTCGAATCATCGACACTTAAGAACGTTTCAAGGCGCGAGTAATAAAACACACCTAAGCAAATCGAAATACTCCCGCTGTTGAAGCATTTTGATGTTCTACAATATATATCATTACCTTGGTATATCTATATCTATTTGTTTGTGAGACTGTCACTTTTTTCCTGGTTTCTCGATCATTGGCCGTCACGATGCACTGTGAAGGCAAGAAGAAAATATCATTCGATGTAAAAAAAAAAAAATAAAAGTACCTAATTAGCTGGATTATTGCCTTTGCCACGCGTTCGTGAACTCAATAACGATTATTAATGACTATACGAAGGTTTTCAGTCTCGACAATATTCAATAATGTTAATATCTGTTTCTTTTTTTTTTCTTTTTTTTTCTTTTTTTTTCTTTTTTTTTTCTTTTTTTTCTTTTTTTTTTTTTTTTAATTCATTTAAATATCTTTACATTTTCCATCTTATATCTTTTTATATATATGAAAATTGATTCTCGTATTGTTAATATGATTTATAATGAAATCTTTGTAAAGTATATGGTTAAAAATTTTATGTTAAAACTTTTTTCTTTTCATTAAGAATAATTATTTTTTAATTTTTGTTATAATATTTTATCCTTTTTTTGCTTAATTACTTTATCAAACGGTTATCTGCGCATAATATTCGCAAATTTATATTAGAACGTTGGAAATGTCTTTCTAATTCAAACGTTAAAGGTAAGAGAATATTTTCCTTTGAGATGGTATTGTGGACCACCCGGAAATATGGCGTGTGAAATAAAAGGAAAAGCATGACTTTGACAACGAACTCGTCCCCAATACCTCTCTCCCCTAAAAAAAAAAAAAAAAAAAAAACTTTCTTCCGGGTGGAAGTCCCATATAGAATTATGAAAAGGGCATAAATAATCTGCCCTCTCAGTTTACTCGTTTCTCTTCCACGCTAAGTAGTACGAGTCTAAATATTGCGAGGCACGATTTCTTACGGTCGACCTGTTCACGCTGAGTTTTCGAGATGCCGATAGAAAATATTTCCCCGCGCACAATTTTTCACGGTATTCATCCAAAAAAATTCTCTTTTCGACACCGACTACTTTCGGTATCGTCATCGGTATGCGTCCATTCGATTTCCACGTTCATTTCACTCTTGCACAGATACATCTCTCAATGTATCACACATGACAAGACAATAATACGTGTTTTCGTTCCTTTTTTATTTTTTATTATTATTTTTTTATTTTTTTATTTTTTTTATTTCGTAAACTAATTTTAAATGTAGCTCTAGAAATGTACAATTATACAGTAGAGTAACTTTTGTTATAAGAGTAATGATATATGGCATATAATTATGTGCTCAACGATATTATAAATATAATTGGTATTATGTAGATATATTTATATGATGTAACTTTATTATATAAGTTGTGAAATTATCTCAAAAAGAAAAAATATTTTTAAAAATGTTAGAACCGTCCAAGATTTAATACTAAATATGACATTAATTAATATATTAAAAAATTTGCAAAACATCTTTTATTCTCATGGAAGTGTTATGGTAATAAATTTCAAAATATATTACCGAATAATATAAGATAAAAAAAAAAGATAATGTAAAATTCTCAACTAATAGATCTATTACTGTAAACAAGACTCAGTACGCTATTGTTCAATTTAGAATATAATAAATAAATAATAGATCCTAATATCCATTGTAATCGTATAGTTTTTCGTTATAGTATTTTAAGATCGTTTTATAAACCGCAGTTATAAACTTGTTTTAAGTTTATCTTGCTAGTTAAAAGCTCGTATTTATTTGATTCAGAAAAAAAATTTAATTTTAAATGTAGATAAAATTTAACCATGTCTGATAAAAAAAAAAATATCCACGATATTTTGTTCGAACGTTGAAATAAATTTTAAATGCATGAATCCACATTACTTATATTGCTCAAAAATCAAACGAATATTTTTAGTAAAGTTAAAAAATATCTGCTAGTGTCGTAAATAATAATTAAACAGATCTTTTTAAAGATTTTTCGTCGACGTTATTTTTCTCGCTTAACAATGAAACCAAAACTTGTTTTTCTCCTTTTAAAATTGGAAGCTCTGTCAACTAAAGGTTGTTCAAAATTTACGGTAGTTTTAAAAAAGAACGGTTTGCGGCATTCAATATGACCACTTTAAACTGTTAGGTTTTACCTTAATAACTTCAACTATTCACCTAATCGATATTGTTAAATAACCTTGACCCGGATAATGGTACAGTAAAATTACTGTAAAACATTAAAAATAAGCTTCATAATTCTTCTATTGTTTAGATCCTTTTGACCTACACAAATTTATGAAGGTTTGATTGGAATCGTAAAATAACAAAAAGTTGATAAAATAAGTGAAATAACCAAAGATAATACCAATGATATTATTATTAGATTTCAACGTTACACACACATACACACACAAACACACATACCTATGTATAATACATACTTTCTATTTATTTCTCTTTCCCTTTTTTCTTGTATAATTAATTATATTTATCGAAATATCTCTTTTCGAAAAATATAAACATGAAAATATTTTCAAATTGTTAAAAATTGAAATATTTTGCATGATATGACATATTACGCTGAT